CAAAGTATCGATATTTACTCAGTACTCGATATTTTGTTCGAACACTATACTGAACGCGACGCTGGCCTGAGCCGAGCGCTTCGCTCCGCCGTAGCCCGCAGCGCTACTCCGATGTCGTGCTGGGGCCCACACGTGCGCTGTGTGGGTTGTTTGCTTGGGTTACAAGACAGACAAACTGCCACGAAATGAAACACTGCACTTTGCTTGCTTACGTCTTGCGGGACGCTATGCATATTTGTTTTAGTATGCATACATCGTTGTTCGAGATAAAAGTTTAACGGAATACATTCTGAATTGCAATATGCGGAAGATTAAGTTTATGGATTATCATTTTTATCAACACTATATATGTTAATATAATTTTGAACTAAATCCAATCTATTTTTTTAACCTTTTCCACTTTGGCAGTCTCCTCTGAGACTGCCTCTGCACTTGGCAGTTTGTATACATAATGACTAAGGGGCCAATTCTGGTGTAAAATAGACTAATGTTACGTAGGTGCTATATTACGTATCATTTTCATACAAAATGAAACTAAATACTGCCAAAATGCTATGTATTTGCTGCACGATCAGGCGTTTTACACATAAAATGCAAATTTGTTCATATGTTATTATTATTTTTTTAACTTCTCGTAGGGTAAGTTATTGTAATGGACCGAAAATCGAAATTGAAAATTTGTACATTTCTCGACGTTTTGAAGGTTTCTGAACATTTTGGCATACATCAGAAAAAATGGATGTGTGTGTGTCTGTATGTATGTATGGATACAAATTTCCAGTCACGTTTTCGGGCGCACGGATCAACCGATTTGAATGGTTCAGAAAACATTCGATTCCTATCGATAGCGAGAAGAGCTGCTTAGTCTTTGGCAAAGGCAGGTCTAGCCGTTTCGGGGATACGGAGCAAAGAGTGCAGAAAATAGAAATCGAGTTTTTGAGTGAACGGAGCATCCGATTTGATTGATCTAAAAAACATTTAATTAGTAATTAATGGGAGAATGATTATTTTTGACAATGGCAGGCCCAGCCATTTCGAAGATACAGAGCTAAATGTGAAAAAAATGGCAGTTTTTGAGAGAACTAAGCGTCCAATTTGAATGGTTCAGAGAACTTTCAGCTTGTTTTAACAAAATAATTGATTTTGAAAAAAAAAATGTATCATTTTTTTTTTAGTTTTTTTTTGTATATCGAAAATAATTCAGATTTTATTTTTAATTCTGACTAAAGTTTTAATATATTTTAAACAAATAATTTTAACTTTGCAATTCAGTTTATATAATTCTTATAAATATTAGACAATGTTACAATATTTATAATAATCTATTTGAAAACATTCTGTATTCCTCGAACATTTCGTTACGGTACTGGAATTTCCAGCAATTTGCCTTAAGGCGCGATGCCATACACCCCATTACTTTATTATTTTATTTAAACACATAGCCGACAGAATACCCCAAGAGAAATTAAAAATACAATTATCGCACATATAATACAGATAAAATACTGGTATCATAGATAATGTGTCAATTCGATAAAGTAACATAGAATACGATAAATAATAAAATAAATTTAAGAAGAAATATAAAGGTTAATTTGAGCAGATAAAGATTATTTGATTTAGTGTTATGAATATCAATATTTTTGTTAATTAAGTTAAAGTTACAGGACATAAGTAAAATAGGCGAATTTAAGAGAAATTTAGATTTAGGAATAGGATAATTGAAAAAATAAAAGTGATCGGGAAGATAATCTAGGAACGTTAAAGTATAGTTCGTTAACAATCAAAGGCCAGTTTATAAGCATTATTACGAAGTTTATATAGGAACATAATAGTATTGATAAAACGACAAATTATACCACATCAGAAATATGCAGCTATGACAACTTTTTTTGACACTGACATTTTGACTGTATTTAGTACCATTTTGTATAAGAAGCGCCACGTAACATAGCCTCTACGTAACATTGGTCCATTTTATGAACTAATGCGGTTCCTCAGTTCGTTTTGAAGCATCCGCGGGCCTTTTAAATAGTTTGTTACGTCTTTTCATGATTTTAAACATTAGTGACGATATCAAATTATCAAAATTTTCAAAAATCAAGAACTTAAAAAAAATAAATCTTCATAAACGATAGATTTTTATAAATGGAATACATATAAGAAGTAAATTTCCTAGAAAGTTTATAAGTTACATTTAAATATTGTTGCACTATATTTATAAAGATTTAAGCTCGCGCACGAAATAATGAAAAAATGATAAATGAATGAAATAAAGTGGCTTGTCATTGCCGGTAGCGCTGAGTATACAAGTTTTTATATTCTAAAAAAAAGTATATTAAAAAATATGAACATCTATGAGAAGCTTAATAAAGCGTAATTTATATTGAAGTTTCTATAAAGAAACATATGAAAATAAAATTCGAAAATAATGATACAAAGTCAACTTCAACGTGTTTTGATTTTCATATATAATTTATATCCATGCCATGATAAATTATATGCCTTTATAAATATTTATTTTTAGTTTTAAACGCATATAAATAAAAAATATTCTTTACACACTAAATATAAAATAGATTTTATTAATTCATATCAAATTTAACTGTTTCAGGAAATTTAAATAAATTCTAATACACAATTATGTGAAAAGCATCACACAGTAACCTTTTATCTATATTTTTCCATCTGTACCTCTCAAATATAAAATGTTAA